TTGAAATATATTTTAAAGCATTCAACATATCTTCACTAAATTTGGTAGGGATCATCAAGACCATGCCCCGAAGGTACCTCAGAATTCTGAAGACAGCGCCACCTACTGTTCCAGAGATATAACGATTCTTGCTAAATGTTGTCCAAATTTTCTTATTTTTATGTCATTTGGTTCCCTTGGTTATGCCGAATCTGACGATGTCTCATTTGTCCTTTTCCAAAAGGGTGTCTGTCGGCCATATTGAATTGAATGAAAAACAGTTTTTTCGCTACTCCTCCCAAAAATGTTGTTCAATTCTTCCCAAAATTTGCTCATATGATCTTTGGACTGAGCTGCACAGAAATGACTGAACATAATTTTTTATCTACTAGTGAAAAAAAAGTTATGATGTTGTGAAGTTAACAAGGTCGACCCAAATTGGTTCAGAGGCTGTATCTCGGCCAAACTTTGATCAATCAAAATTAAACTTGGTATGCTTCATCAACAACAAGATCTGAGAGTCCATGCCAAATTTTGGAACAGCGCCACCTATGGGTCGTGAGATACTAAAAATGCACATTTTGGCTTATAACTTTTGAACAGTTAGTCAGAAAATCATGATCATGGTGTCTATGGATTCCTTGGGTCATGAGGATGTCAATAGTGCTTTTGTGTAAAATGCTAAGCCACGCTTTTGTGAGATCCTTCTCACACCTTAACCTCTGTTCTGCGGCCTGTTGAGTGTGTGTCAACTGAGTGGCGCACTCTGCTAAGCTTTTGGCTCTGAACACCTAAGGTTGTCGGTTCGAATCCATGGTGGCTAATGTTGCTTCTGTTCCAGACATTCAATTTTCCGTGTGCTCGTATTTAATCAGAAGCGTGTTTTTTCTCATTCTCATCTGAACTTCTGTTCAATTTGGAACTTCTGTACTTCTGACTATCTGTTCTTCTTTATGTATGTTCCATTTCTGCCGTTTTTGCTCTTCCCGCTCTGCGCTGCGCTACAGCCCTTCTCGGGCTTGGCCCCGGAATCGCTGCTTGCAGCTATATTTCAAGATGTATTCTGATGTATTTCTGGTGTAGAACCAAACTTTATTTATCTTAATTTAATGCTGTATAGTGTCTGTCGGCCATATTGAATTGAATGAAAAACAGTTTTTTCGCTACTCCTCCCAAAAATGTTGTTCAATTCTTCCCAAAATTTGCTCATATGATCTTTGGACTGAGCTGCACAGAAATGACTGAACATAATTTTTTATCTACTAGTGAAAAAAAAGTTATGATGTTGTGAAGTTAACAAGGTCGACCCAAATTGGTTCAGAGGCTGTATCTCGGCCAAACTTTGATCAATCGAAACCAAACTTAGTATGCTTCATTAACACCATGATCTGAGGGCCCATGCCAAAGTTGGGAACAGCGCCACCTATGGGTCATGAGATACCAAAAATAGCTATTTTTGCTTATAACTTTTAAACAATTAGTCAGACAATCATGGTCATGGTGTCTATGGATTCCTTGCGTCATGAGGAATCTGCGGATGTCAATTTTGCCAGGATTGGCTGAGCCACGTGTCCACCATTTTGAAATTTCTCATAAATTGAAATATATTTTAAAGCATTCAACATATCTTCACTAAATTTGGTAGGGATCATCAAGACCATGCCCCGAAGGTACCTCAGAATTCTGAAGACAGCGCCACCTACTGTTCCAGAGATATAACGATTCTTGCTAAATGTTGTCCAAATTTTCTTATTTTTATGTCATTTGGTTCCCTTGGTTATGCCGAATCTGACGATGTCTCATTTGTCCTTTTCCAAAAGGGTGTCTGTCGGCCATATTGAATTGAATGAAAAACAGTTTTTTCGCTACTCCTCCCAAAAATGTTGTTCAATTCTTCCCAAAATTTGCTCATATGATCTTTGGACTGAGCTGCACAGAAATGACTGAACAGAATTTTTTATCTACTAGTGAAAAAAAAGTTATGATGTTGTGAAGTTAACAAGGTCGACCCAAATTGGTTCAGAGGCTGTATCTCGGCCAAACTTTGATCAATCAAAATTAAACTTGGTATGCTTCATCAACAACAAGATCTGAGGGCCCATGCCAAAGTTGGGAACAGCGTCACCTATGGGTGTTGAGATACCAAAAATAGCTATTTTTCCTTATAACTTTTGAACAATTAGTCAGAAAATTATGATCTTGGTGTCTTTGGATTCCATGTGTCATGCCGAATCTGAGGATGTCAATTGTGCTTTTGTGTAAAATGCTGTCACGCTTTTATGAGATCATTCTCACACCTTAACCCCTCTTTTGCGGCTTGCTGAATGTGCGTCAACTGAGTGGCACACTCTGCTAAGCCACTGGCCCCGGACCTTTAACGTCGTGGGTTCGAATCCAGGGTGGCACATACCCAGATTGCAGGAAGTGGTACGAATGCTGCTTCTGTTCCAGATGTTGGATTTTCTGTATGTATTGAATCAGAAATGTGTTTTTGGTCATTCTCATCTGAACTTCTGTTCATTTTTGAACTTCTCTACTTCTGAACCTATCTGTTTTTCTAATGTACATTCTATTTATGCTGTATTTGCTCTTCTTGCTCTGCACTACACTTCTTGAACATTCTTGGTTAGCATGCAAGTTAGTGCTTGCTCCTCTGTGTTCCTTTTTATATTAAAACATATCTTCAACATTATTGTGACTGTGTGCCCTATGTGGCACAGTGTGATAAGAATTGTTCTCTCACAGATGAGGTCACAGGTTTTAATTCTTGTGTGGGGTGACATTATAATAGAACATGTATAAAGTGTCTTCGTTGGTTCAATAATACAGGAACATCTGTGCAGCATTACAGCACAAGTTTTATAAGTTTTGTTGTTAAACTGACAGTTATTAACAAAGATATCCATGTGTATTGAGTGGGCCAGCTACTGCCATTGTATACTTTAGCAAAGCATTTAATTTGTCCTTTTCATGGATAGCATCACTGGAAGAAAGAATATTTGAAAACTGCTTTTAGTTGAGCTTCCAGTTTGTCACAAGAAACTTAAATGGGATCATCATTTAAGTCATAGGCCTACAGAATGATTTAATTCTGTTGTGTACACTAAATATAAATATTTTAACAATTTTCTCCCCAATTCCAGGTTTTATGGTACAATCAATAAATAGATAAACTGAATGCAAAGAAAATGATTATTTTTAAATGATTTTTTATCCATTATCATGAATGCTCTATGTAGCACAGAGTGATATGAATTCTGCTCACAGATTAGGTCATTAAAAAAAAAAAAAATTGTTTGGAGAACAAAACTAACATTCTACATATAATTTCTAATGTAGATCAATAAACAAACATGACATTGATAGAGTAAATGGAAGTGCATGACCGAAAGGACAAAAGTACATTTGAATTCATCATGTATTAATTAAATTCTTTAGAAAGACTTTACTTAGTTTACATTGAAAATATTGTGCCTTAATACCCCAGTGAGCAAGCCAGAAGGCGACAGTGGCAAGGAAAAACTCCCTAAATTGGTGAAGAGGAGCATCATCAGCAGAGTGGTTTAAGGAGAAACCTTGGGAGGAACCAGACTCAGCAGGGGCAGGCCATCCTCCTTTGGCTGGCACATATCTAAATTTACTGTACATGGGCTAAATATAATACAAGCCATCCATCCAATATTTTATATACAATTGTGTTACTTTTGTGATTATGTATTCATTTGTGAAATAACTTTGACTATTGACTGCCTGCATCAGTGTAGAGTTTTGCCGGGACATTTTCTGAATTGATAGTTGACAATGGTTTTTGTCTTCACTGTAAGAAAGAGAAGCAGAAAATCAATAAATTAAAGCAATCAAATTAGTATCAACTTCTGATTAATAAGCATATAGGCTATTTTCTTCTACCTTTTTCCAAGTTGTGAGCTTCCATACAGTTGAGAAGTTCATGGGTCTTAGAATCACATCATGAGTGTCAGAATGTAGTTACGATTATGACAATGCATTGATTTGATTGAATAGGCACTGCTTCTTTGTAGCTATGACTGCAGTGCATTTTAGAAATCTGGAGAGAGAAAAAAAATACTTGGTGTCAACTGCTTGATAAAATTCAAAGATTTACACAACAACTTAAACAGTTTGCAACAAATGAATATACTATTAGCTTACGGTTTCGTCAGCATCTGACATTTTCGCAGTAGTTGGTGGAGCTCTGATTATGACTGTGGTTACAGAGATGTTGCACAAATCTGAAAGTGTACTGTTCATAGGTTAATTAATCCTTGAAGGGAAGCATATCAAGTCTGAAAAATTAAACTGACTATTAAATTTACCTTTTTAATCAGATGTGTGCTTCTTCATAGGAGTTCATGGAGCAAAGAATGTCAATATGGGTATACGGAGGAAGTTATGACTTCAGGGAATTTCATAAATCTAAAAAAAATTAATAGAACATGAAACTGCTTGATAAAAGAGAATGATTAAAACAAAAACAGTTTGTGATTAATACATACACTATTAGCTTAGCTATTTGTCATTAGTGCATATTTCTATAGGAGTTTGTGGATATCAGAATATTACCAATGGATAACAATACACTTTCAGATTTGTGACACAATTCGGTAATACATTATTAATGCTTTAAGAAGAGTATTTAAGTTTTGCAGAAATTATAAAATAAGTGGTACCTTTTTATCGTTTGTGTGCTTCTTTATAAAAAAATAAAAAAAAGTTCATGGACTGGAGAATCATATAATGGATAAGGAGGAAGTTACAATTGTAGCTCATTGCAGAAATCTGAAAATACATTCATGGAATATTAACTGCTTGATAAAGTGTTTACACAACAAACATTTTGCAACTAATGTATACACATCTCTACACTCACCTTTTGAGAGTAGTGGACAGTAGTTGTTGAGTTGTGCTGCACATAAGTGAAAGAATATGGTTATTGCTTTAACTCTTTTCTTTGAGCAGTAATCTAAGCTTTGCAGATATTTTACAAATAAATGTACCTTTTTTCAGTTTTGTGCTTCTTCATAAAAACAGTTCATGGAGCGGAGGATCATATAATGGATAAGGAGGAAGTTAGAATTGTAGCTCATTGCAGAAATCTACGAAAATAAATTCATAGAACATTGGGTGCTTGATAAATGAAATGCTTACACAACAAATAAATTTTGCAACTAATGTACACACCGTCTCTACACTTACATTTTGAGAGTAGTGGACAGTAGTTATTGAGTTTTGATGCATAAACCTGAAAATGTATTGTTAGTAGCAGAAACAGTGCTTTAAGAAATGAGTCAATTCATGTTTTGCAGACATTATGCAATTAAATATACCTTTTTATCGATTGTGTGCTTCTTTATAAAAACAGTTCTTGGAGCGGAGAATCATAATGGATAAGGAGGACATTAGTAGTGTAGCTCATTGCAGAAATCTGAAAATACATTCATGGAACATTCACTGCTTCATAAAGCGTTTACACAACAAAAACATTTTGTAACTAATGTAGACACCATCTCTACACTCACCTTTTGAGAGTAGTGGACAGTAGTTACGGAGTTGTGCTGCACAAAACAAAGAATATTGTTATTGCTTTAATGAGTGCTCAAAGAAAAGAGTTAATCTAAGCGTTGCAGACATTATGCAATTAAATGTACCTTTTTAATCGGTTGTGTGCTTCTTTATAAAAACAGTTCTTGAAGCGGAGAATCATATAATGGATAAGGAGGAAGTTAGAAGTGTAGCTCATTGCAGAAATCTGAAAATACATTCATGGAACATTCACTGCTTCATAAAGCGTTTACACAACAAAAACATTTTGCAACTAATGTAGACACCATCTCTACACTCACCTTTTGAGAGTAGTGGACAGTAGTTGTTGAGTTTTGATGCATAAACCTGAAAATGTATTCTTAGTAGGTGATACAGTGCTTGAAGAAATGAGTCAGTTCAAGTTTTGCAGACATTACATTACTACATTTACATTTTTATCAGTTGTTTTCTTCATTATAGGAGTTATTGGAGTATAGAATGATGTGTTGGATGGAGTATAGAATCTCATGTATGGGGGAAATTATGACTTCAGTGTATTTCATATGTCTGAAAAGAGTACTTGCATGTGCTTACTTGCATATAGTTGATGAATTTAACAATGCCTTTAAAACGGTTTATTATAATTTAAACAGAAAAATGTTTGTGTAACCAGGCACACCCGAGTCAACTTACCTTTGTTAGTTTTAGTAAATCTTCACCATTTTTGTGTTGTTCTATTAACTTAATTGTGATATATTAGGAGAAAACTGGATGGATGCAGGCAGTCTTTGTGGATGCTTCCTATGATGTTTGGAAGCATCCATTATTGTTTGGATGGCTTATAATATGACTGAAATTAGATTAATAATAAAATACATTAGTAATGTAATATACTTGAAGTCAGTTAAAAATTAGAAAAAAAAAAATCTCTTAAACGTAAAGAGAATTAAACTGAATTAAAAATAATCTAACAGCTGGATATAAATTAAATAGTACAATTACCTTGGCTGGATGAAGCTTATTAGCTCAAGAAAGAGGAGCAATTATGGGAGATGTAGGATTGTGAAAGATGATCACTGGTTTGAATTTGAGGCTGGATTGACTGGACTCTGTCGATCTTGGAATCTCAGGATAGTGTTCACATGGTATGGACACAAAAACAGAACAGACAATACAATGATACAATTCTCATTTCAGTGTGTTCCATACATAAAATGGATTACCTTCCAATAGACCTTCATTGATAACATGGAACATCTGTACAGATTCAACTGATGATTTAACTGATGAAAAATTATAAGAGTTATTCATTTAGATATAGTCTAAGAACATACCTTCTCCAGTTGTACACTTGTATGCCAGTTGAAAGCTCAGAATTAATATTGCATAGTAAGGGTACAGGAAAGAAAAGATAATGCGGTTATACTGATTTCAGTACATGTCACACGGATGAATTATTAGCTCAGTGAAATAAGTATTGCTTGGTGGTAACTGTAATACGTTTGCACAATTTCAACCGAAACATTTTCTGCATCTTTAACATAGACGTGGTCGATCAGTGTACCTTTCTCAGTTGTAGGATGTTGCACATGTTGACTGTATCCATGTAGTTCCATTAATGTTCTCATTATAAGAGTTATTCATTTAGATATAGTCTAAGAACATACCTTCTCCAGTTGTACACTTGTTCTCCAGTTGTATGCCAGTTGAAAGCTCAGAATTAATATTGCATAGTAAGGGCACAGGAAAGAAAAGATAATGCGGTTATACTGATTTCAGTACATGTCACACGGATGAATTATTAGCTCAGTGAAATAAGTATTGCTTGGTGGTAACTGTAATACGTTTGCACAATTTCAACCGAAACTTCCCCAGCTCATCAATAACATGCAACATATTTTGTCGAAACATGTCAAGTGGATATGAGTTAGGCCTGTACAGCAAAGCAGCATTCAAACTTATATGTGGAACTGCAAAGTATAAACATTCCAAGTTGCAAGGTTCTGGAATGATGACGTTAAAATGAATGCTTTCACAACAGAATAGTCCAACTCCACCTCCTCTTTGTTGTTTTAAATCAGTGAAAAGTGGAGTGCTGTTGTCATAACACTTAGCTCTCGGATTGTTCTGAAAAACAAATCCTGGTATCTGTACTTTGTCTTCAACTTTTAGCCACGTTTCAGTTAAACAGATACAATCCGCATTCATTAGCTGTCCATGAACTTGAACATCTTGAACATGAGCTCGAAGACTTTGTACATTATGAAGAGCAATTGTAAACATACCAGGCGTCTTTATGAAACTGTGATTTTCTAAAGTAAGTCTGAGCATGTTTTTCATAGCAGAGTCAATTTTCTCATTACAATATATGACAGACTCTTTGAAGTTATTAATTATTAGTCCATCGAGGGTTCTCACACGACTCAGTGCAACATATGCTTGTCTCGGAGAAAATACCTTGTCAAGTGAGACGACCGCTTTATCTACCGTGAGTCCTTGCACTTTGTGAACGGTACATGCCCATGCCAATTTAAGAGGAAACTGACGTCTTAAACCGCCATCGTTTGTGACTTGATCTTCTTCCACTTCAATAACAGAAGAATTTGGGGAATATTTCTGTCGTTGCATCGATCTCTGAATTTTACCAACATTTGGATTATCAAATTCAACATGAATAGCTGTTGGGAAGTCATCATGATCATCATCATTATCATCATCATCATGTTTTTGTGTTTTGCTTATGTGGACAACTGTGCCGAAGGCTCCATTGACAAGTCCATCAGAAACATCAAGATTTTTCCTTAGCATTACTCTGGCTCCAACACCCAAGGAAACACATTTGTCCAAACACGAGTTGAAAACTTTTGCATGAAAACCAACTTTTGCTTCTATTCTTTGTAGCGAATCAGCTCATAAGGAAATATGAATACTTAATCATAACTAGTTACAATTAATTATAAATATTTAGATCCGCTGTAGATATTTACTTGACCTCTCAGGGTCAACTGTCTGTCAATTCTAAGAACGTTAATTTCCTGGTTAAAGGAAATAACTTTCTTACTGTACAACTCTACACAGAGCTTGTAGCATAAATCTGCATGATTAAGTGACTCCAGTTATGAGCAAACAATGAACAACATCAAGTGTGATACAAGTAAGACTTTATTAACTACATAAACACTTAAACTAGTCTAACATACTACATAAACACTTAAACTGGTCTAACATACCAAGCATCTTCCAAATCAACACCCTGCTCCAAAAGCTGTTGAGCCCTATCCATTTTGTCACTTTCCTTTTCAAACAGTGCTCGATTAGCATCAACAATACATTTTACTTCCATCACATTACTTCCACATTTCACAGCACCATTGTTGTAGAATTCCTCATAAGTGGTAAAATTCTCAGGCTTGAGCTGCCAGTCTTCGTAATGTGGTAAGAAAAGTTGCAACAATGAATGAAAGTACTTTTCGGGATCTTTTTTTGGAGAAAATCTCGGATACCTGACAACGAGAAAATCTCGGATATCTGACAACAGCGGGTTCAGTTCGAGTTCTCTTCATCATATAACCGCAGTTGTTGTTAAGCTTAATCACCTTGTCTTCCGAAGCCTTTTTTTGTGAAGAAACCTCTGATTTTGACAATATCCTGTTTTCAGAGCAAAAACTTGCAAGACATCGAATCTCAAACTCCTTCGTGTTTGGCCTATTCTTGTATCGGTCAACCAGACTGGTCATCCAAAAGCTAGTTTCTTCACCAGACTGATCATCTTTGTTTTTGATAACACGAAGAGGCAAACTCATCTTTACAGGACTCAATCCAATTGGAATAAACTGGACTTTACGAGAACATTCCTTCAAGTGCATACCTGTCAATCGATACACAGCCTCTTGAACAGAAATTTCTCTGTTGTGAAGATATACACTCCCAAGCATTTTTAATGATCATCTTGCTTCAAGATTTCCATTCATAGCTTCATTTTGTGCACGTTGCAGCAACAGTCCCATTTCTTGTTCTGCTTTTGTGATGTAACTAATAATGTAAACCACAACAGAGTGAGCATCTGTAACATACTGGATATCCATGTTCCCTTGCCAGGCACGCATTAAATGTTTATTATACTGGTTCAACCAGATGTCTTTTGAACTTCTTTTTAGGACAACAGTTTTCTTTTTGGAACACTGCTTGTATGCTAATTCGAAGAGAGCCTGGTTAATGCCAATTGACTCAAAAAACGCATCTGTTGAACAATTCATATCAGAAGCTGTTAATGCCCTTTTGACTTTTTCTAAAATTGTACGTGCAGCATCTTTTCCATCACTACTTTTCAAATCGTCTCGACTACCACCTCTTGTAATAAAGGTACGGCTAGATGGGGGTCGTGGAAAATTAAATCTGCAAACTGTCTTTTTCTTACGACACGTCTTTGAATGTCTGACACTGTGCTTCTGAACACCGTTGACCGTCTTACCTCCCTCTTATCATGAAACGTTGGACCACCACTTGGATAGAGAACAGGGAAACATTTTGCTTCGTTGGACCTATCAGATAACAAACTAACAGGACTGTTCCCTTCAGCTGGTGCCAGATTTAATACATCGTGAAAATGCTGATCAATTACTTCAGAACCAATGTCCACTGGTTGCAATGACGTATCTGACAAAAGACCACTTTGCTCTTTGATGTAGGTCAGGTCTTCCTCTGGCTGTTCATCAGGGTCATTTTCATCATCAATCTTTTCAACTACATCTTGTTGCTCGATTTCATCTACAACATTTTCTTCAGGTTCATTCAAAGAGTTGATCCACTGCTCATTAATCTTCACATCACCGAACCACTTATTGAACTTGATCAAATATTTCAGAGCATTTCTAACACGATCAGTGTGTACATACTTGTACTCATAATGCCCTTTGTAGGTTAACTTGCGTTTCAGTTTCATCCTTATCATCTTGTCATCACATTCATTTCGTGGAAGGATATTGGACACGTCTTTGGTATTTACCGGAACACACACTACAGGCCCATGGCATCCATGTTGTTTACCAAGGGGAAGGCAGAGTAATTTCATAAAAGGAATGTTACGTGCAATGAGATGTTGTTCCAAAGAGTTGAGACATTTCAGTTGATTTGGAATGTCCACCAAATGCATGTTGTTAGCAACGCTCTCTTCGGGCAGTTTTCCACAAAGGATTTTTCGATGACATGTTAGACAAATCCATAATTTGCACCCTGGGGAATAAGCAGAAGATTGTTCACACTGTTCATCACAAACATGTACATACCTGGTTGTGATACATCGTCTACCCAAAGCAGCAAATTTCTCTCCTTTATCTTCATAGCATCCGGTTCTGCATTCAACAACCTGTTTTCTGAAAAGTAAGCGGTGACAGACAGAGCACACAAACTCTGGACCACTACGAACTTCTCGTCTAAAATAATCAATAGCAACATCAATGTCTTTTTGTTCCTTCTTTCTTGCATATATTTCACAACCTTTTTGTATTGTACTCACACCTTTATGGTATTTCCTCACAGAATACTCACGCACTCTTGCTTTGAAGGCCAGGTTTTGCAGATATTTTCTCTTCGAATACTCATGCACTCTTGCTTTAAAGGCCACATTACTCTTGTACTTCACCTGGGAATAGTGACAAACCAGTTTCTGAAACTGAACATTGCTCCTATAATAATCTTCTGAACACTTACGACTTCTCTTCCTGAAATCAGGATCATTACAATATTTTGATTTCTTGTACCTTAGCTGTTTTTGTCGGTACTCACTGTCATTGCAATATCTCTCCCGATGCCTTTTGATTGGAGGACATTCTGTAGCATCGCTTACCTTTCTTTTACGCAGACATGGCTTGCTGACCTCATTTGACACTGGATTTCCACATGCTCCTGCACAAACACCATCTCGATCTCTGTGCTTAACACATGTCACAACTTCATAATGATTACCGTTACATTGTTTCAGATAAATTGCATTCTGTGTAAATACCCGTCCAGTAGGTTTGTGTGCATTCCATCGGCCATCATTAAAAGTCATTATAGTGGTTTTGAAAAGATCAGCCCAAACGAATATGTCAATTTCTGTTACCCATGTGCCAGAATAAAAGATTCTAGATCGTGTCAAATAATCCTCTACTGAAGAATACTGACTTCTGACGTACCTCTCAAACAGCAAAGTATTCATTTTCAGATGTTTGACAACCGCACGGCGAATCTTCAAGTGCTTGTCCTCGCTTCCACATATCACATGTGCCAACGATCTGAAAAAGCAGTTACCATC